CACACACACACACACACACACACACACACACACACACACACACATAGATTCTTTCTATAAATTCTGTTATTCTAGAGAACCCTGCCTATTACAGGCCACCTAATCAAATCCCTATAATTCTCTAGTCTACATTTATAGCTAAAAAAGTGTTATTAAATATCTCAACTCTGTTAATGAATGGTCTTGAATGAAATGATGACATTATTCTATTATGTAAGAGGGCTAGCCAAAACAGTTTCTTTGGTGGTAGCACATTAACATCCAATCCCTTAACAAAACGCATAATGGAAGTGCTTTAAAGTACAATAAAAAAAAACTGTTGGATAACCTCTAGAAGTTGCTGTCTATGTATCTATGATTTTTGATTCTATTTTATCTCTATCTATCTATCTATCTATCTATCTATCTATCTATCTATCTATCTATCTAGTTGGGCACATGGCTTTGATAATGTTAAGCAAGCACTCTGCTATTGAACTATCCCACAATATCCTACAGTTTGTCTTAAGCATGATTTATCCCATAAAAGTTGGATATTAAATTATAAAATTGCCACTTCAGTGAATAGGCCCATACTCATGAGTATATGGGTTGTATTGAGTAAATTAAGAAAAATCAAAGAAATATAATAGGACGTGAATTAGAAGGGTGGGTAGGGTGGTGGTATGGGCTTCTTAGATTAGTTAAGGGGGAGAGTGAAGGAGAGGAAATGAAAATACATTGTATGAAATTGTCAGAAGTATGATAAAAAAATATTGTTTTTTTGTCAACTCGAGGTTCTATTGAGAGAATATGACTAAAAATCCTGTATCCTTTCATAGAATGATGTTACCATAAAAGCTTTGTTCTTGAAAATGATACTTAGATAAAATTCCTACTTACCTTTGTAGTGTTTTTCACCAAAGTTTAAAAAACATGTTTGATTCCAATAAGCCTCATCCTTAGTTTTAGGTGTCCTTCTTTATTGTCACTTTTCTCTTACCCTTGTTGAGGTCAGCAAAGGCGAGTTATATCTTTCCTCCTCCAGATGAATCTAAAATAGAGTATTCAGGTCTGTAGCAAAAATCCCTTGTTTCTGTTTCTCTCTGAGATTCTGTTTTGTTTTATTTTGTAGCTTTTTTTTTCAGAAAGATGGTTTTGTATGATTCATGTATTGACACATTTTGAACTTTATTCTTCTCAAGGACATTATTCTCATTTCTAAAAATTTCTATCTGCTCTCATTTAACATTTCATGTTTGACAGAGCCTTTATTCTAAGCAGTTACAACATTTGAGAACTTCAAACTCCAGTTAAATCTTTTTTAATTTTGTAGCTGCATTAGCTATTTGTCCTGAAGAAGGCTCCAAATAGCTTTTTAATTGGTCAGACTATCTTTACATTTAATTTCTTTTATCCTTGGGATTACCTACATAAGCAATTTTACTTCATCTTTCTTTTAATAGTGTCCTTTTCTTCTTCAGTTCTTTCTGTATCTGAAATAGCAAAATCTTTAGTCAATTGAAAATGTTTTAGATCTTGATTTCTTTGCAATCTGGTATTAATAAAATGGGGGTAGTGATTTTATGTCACACATAAAAGGTTGTCACACTCATGACTTCTTTAACATTTTCTTGGGCACCTTGATTTTAACTGTGTGGGTATGTGAGTTTACTATTCTCTGATTGTTTCCTTGACATAATCGTCAAGAACTAGTAAGGTTTGATAACTCCCTGGCCTTAAAGACAGTGAAGTATTGTTACTTCACACCTTCAAAATACTTGCCATTCATTTAAATTTCGAACCTTACACAAGGGCATAAGTATGCAGAGACATAAGACCATTAGGACAGGATGCATTTCAAGGTAACTTCTACCACCAAGATCATACAATAAAGATGACACCTTAACAAAACAAGACCAGTGTTAAAATTTGTCATGATTATTTAAATGATTTCTTCTTCATTTTTTCTTTCTGAAGTCTGAAACCAAGGCTTACTCATATTTCTCTATTTATTGCTAAATTTTTCTTCCAACCTTAAACTATTTCTTGTATCTCTTAGTAGTTTCACAATGACATTTATTTATTTCTATTAACCTATAGGAGACTAGAAAGCACCATAAGAATACTAATGAGGATGTAAGTATTTCATATGAACAGTATAAATGCTGTGAGTGCTCAATAGGAACAGTAAAGAGATTGTGAGTGCTCCATAAGAACAGTGNAATAGGAACAGTAAAGAGATTGTGAGTGCTCCATAAGAACAGTGAAGAGATTGTGAGTGCTCCATAGGAACAGTGGAGAGGCTGTGAGTGCTCCATAGAAAGAGTGGAGAGGCTGAGAGTGCTCCATACGAATAGTGGAGAGTCTGTAAGTGCTCCATAGAAACAGTGGAGAGACTGTGAGTGCTGCATAGGAACAGTGGAGAGGCTGAGTGCTGCATAGGAACAGTGGGGAGGCTGTGAGTGCTCCATAGGATCAGTGAAGAGGCTGTGAGTACTCCATAGGAACAGTGAAGAGATTTTGAATCCTCCATAGGAACAGTGAAGAGATTGCGAGTGGTCCATAGGAACAGTGATATGCTGTGAACGCTCCATAGGAACAGTGATAGGCTGTGAGTGCTCCATAGAAATAGTGACGAGGCTGTGAGTGCTCCACAGGAATAGTAAGGAGCTGTTCCTGTGCTGAGGGTATCCAGAGAGGAAGAGATGGGCAGGTGCCAGTGCAAGAATTCCTGAAAAGCAACATGATAACACCAGAATCCAGCGAACATGCAACAGGGAGACTTGAACATTCTAACCAAGAAGAAGTATAAGAAATCAACTTTAAATGTAACCTTGTGAAAATGATGGAGACTCCTAAACAGGAAGTGAAAAACTCCCTTAATGAAATGGAAAAGAAGACAAACAAAAAGAAAAAATTAATAAATCCCTCAAAGAAACCCAAGAAAATCTAGAAAAAGTGATCAAACAGGTAAAGGAAAACAGTTCAAGACTTGAAGAGCAAAATGGAGGTAATAAAGAAAACACAAACTGATGGATGCCTGAATATAAAAAATCTAGGTAAGCAAATAGGAACTGCAGAGACAAGTATAACCAACAGAATACAAGAGATAGAAGAAAGAATCTCAGGCACTGAAGATACTATAGAGGAAATAGACTTATTTGATGTAGGAGTGTCATATCAATCTGTTGATTTCATTGGTTAAGGAATAAAGAAACTGCTTGGCCCTGATAGGTTAAAACATAGGTGGGAGGAGTAAACAGAACAGAATGCTGGGAGGAAGAGAAAGTGAGCTCAGAATTGACAGGTCTGCTCTCTGGAGCAGAGACGCCAGGCTCCTCTCTCCCAGGCAGCTCCGACCCAGGATGGACATAGGCTAGAATCTTCCTGGTAAGCACACCTTG